TAAGTTAGTTTATGATGTCTGTCAATGGAGCCCATGTACTTGCTATCATGCCTTCAAATTTGAGTTCGCTTCTCTATATTTTAAAAAGGATGAGACGATGAGTTGCATCATTGACGGTCCTCACTCGCTCTATTCTGGGTCTTGGTGAATAAAGTAAATTACATATTATGCCTCCAATGGTACATGATAGAAGACTGCTTGTATATTTACACTTATTCAGGATCAAATCCATATTTCAGGATTCGAACTCTTGACGCGACAGCCTCAAGCAAAGTTGGAGTTTTTTCACCTTCCATTTTTACTACTTGGAGATGTGCCTTGGGGGCCACTTCTCTATATTTTAAATGTCACAACGTATTGGCTATGCCTTGTTTGATCTCCATTTTTCTCTAGATAAGCCTTTATGTGATTCATGCGTGGTGATTGGCTGTCTAGTCGAACCAGATATGTACCTAGCAACGTTGAAGGCAATATTCAAATAAATAAATATGTCATCTCTCTGACAATTTAAGATTTTAGACAAGAAGGTTTAACGTGGTATTAGAACAATCAAAGGTCCTAAGTCAAGTCTAAAAAATGTGCATGTTTCAAGCCTTAAGTGAAAATATGAAGCCTGCAAGTATGGTTGTGTTGAAGACAAAATTTAAACAAACAAATTTGTCCATTCTATTACAGATCAAGGTTGTAGAAGAAGTGACTCATCTGGGAATTTGACCTTTTTTTCCCTTTGGTCTTCCAGGATGTTTTTGTTTTTCTTTTGTATCGTTTGGTCTTCTAGGTTGTTTTCGCTTTTCTTTTGTTTCCCCTTCCTAAACTAAATATCTACTTGAAATTATTGCCTACACAGTGTTGGAAGGGGGTTTATGCCTAATACGATCGTGAAAAATGTCATTCGATCTCTTCCGTTCTTATAGTTTCTTTTCAGTGGTACTTTTGCTGCTATTAATCTATGTAATAGAAATATTGTGGCGAAGTTTACATACTCTTGGAAGATTTTCAGTTGTCTAATAATTGTTAGAAGACGTGTTTAGGATTGCTGATGTGGAGTTATAAATGTTATTTAGTTGGCTATTTCAAAATTGTTCCTTTTTTTTTGGTCTTGGTTATTTTTGATATTCATGTTTGTGACGTGGCGTAGTCTTAGGACCATGACTTTAGTGGGTTGTTATTAATCAAGCTTTAACTTGTAATGTTTCTGATGTTAACTATGTAATTTCAGTTTTCTTCTCTTCAAAATACGTTCTCAATTTCATTTGTTTTTACTGCAACAATACTTTTAAAAACAAAGCTTTGCTTGTTTTTCTTTTCTCATTCTAAATATATCCACAATTGGTATCAGAGCTCTCTTCTTAAGGGATCCGTGTATGAGTTTGACGCGTCATGGAAGCCAAAGCCAGTTTCTCCTCAATTGCTCCTCCAGTGTTCAACGGAGACAACTACCAGATTTAGACAGTACGGATGGAGACATACTTGGATGCTTTGGATCTTTGGGAAGCAGTGGAAGAAGACTGAAATCCTTGCACTTCCGAACAATCCCACATGGCACATATTAAAGCGTAGAAGGAAAAGAAGACAAAGCAGTCAAAGGCAAAGGCTTGCTTTTTTGCTGCAGTCTCATCCGCCATCTTAACTCGTATCATGTCTCTGAAGTCAGGAAAGGAGATATGGGATTATCTCAAGACCGAATACGAAGGAGATGAAAGGATTCGAGAGATGCAAGTGATGAACTTGGTACGTAACTTTAAGTTGCAGAAGATGAAGAAGACTGAATCCATCAAAGAGTATTCTGATAGGTTGCTTAACATTGCAAGTCGAGTCAAACTACTCGGTTCGTCTTTGCTAGAATCAAGGATTGTTGAAAA